CCCAGCCAGCATGGCTGGCTGGGGAATTCTGGGAGTTGAAGTCCACTCATCTTAAAGTTCCAAGGTTGAGAAACACTGCATTAGAGCAGAAATTTGACCACAAACATGGCCATAGCAATGCTAGAATAGGACGAGATGTTGGCATGCCTGACTCTACGCTAGAATTTCTTTTTGTTTTTATTCTGCTTTCCATAACTCCTCTGTGACTTTGCGAACCACACATTGAAATCATAAGCATACAGTTTTCTTTTCCTCCTTGACTGTAACGTTTCATTCCTAAACGCATAAAAAGTTCTGGTTAAAAATGTTCATTGCCTCCTTCTGCCAACCTGGAACCAATTACCCTATTTTCCCCAGAAAAGTCACTTGGCCTAGCGCACATTCAAACCACGCGACCATTGCGGGGGATCCGTTAACCGCGCGAATGGAGACCAACCTGTGTTTGGAAAGGCTCCTTTGGTTGAGGCAACTTAAAATTGCCTAGGTCTTTGCGGTTGCCACATAGACACTGCTGACTCACATTCGGTTTGTAATCAACAATGACATAATGCTTCTTTTAACCGTTGAAGTCAGGCACGATATTCAGTGGCTTTGCTGTGGAATATAGGATTCTGTCTACTCAGTGGGACTTGCTTCGTCAAGGCTGTTACCTGAGCAGTGGGAGCTTCAGTGCGATTCACATCTCGGGGCTAAGCCTCTCTGAATTCAGTGGGGCTTATTCTTAAACAAGCCCGCATCGAGTCGCCTCCTTATGTGCTATTTGGCAGGTTTTCGGTTCCGTGATAACTGTGTTCCCGAAAGGGTAGATTATGGAAAGAAGGAAATTATGATGTAACCTTACAGAGAGAGGGTAAAATATAAATACATTTATAACCACAGTCAAAAAGATTGGAAGCTGCTTTTTTATAATCTTTTATAGATTCTTCTTTTCTTTTTCCTTCATCCCTCCCTCTCCTTCCCTTCCCTTTCTCTATTTTCTTTCTTACGTATCCACTATTCTTTCTTATTTTCTTTGTTTCTTTTCTGATATTTGTATTGTGTTTAGTCTTGTTAAATTTTTCTTCAGTAAAATTGTATTAAAAAAAAATAAACAACTGCGTTCCCAGATCTGGTTTTCT